AAATTATTTAAATAGTTTAAAAGGGGTAATAGGTTAGTAGAGGTGTGCTACTTACTTATTTACGCTGCTCGCTTATTAACTATGTTATATATTTATATATATCTGTAAATAAAGTTCTTATTTAAAATACTTTATTTTCTTAAGACATTATACTTTAGAAATTTATATTATATATAGTAGATTAGAAGGCCAAGGACATTGATGTATATGCTGGTTCTAAGCCTAGTCACTCAAAGTATGTTTCTCTTCACTGTGTTTTACCATGTCATAAAACACGCCCTTCTTGGCCAACAGATGTTTCGGGCTGCCCACCTCCAGTATGGTGCCTGAGCCCATGACCACCACTCTGTCATAATCCATGATTGTCTGCAGCCGGTGAGCAACCGTAACCAGTGCCCTCTTCTCACCGCCTGCACGTAAGAGCTCTTGACGGAGCGCTTGCTGCACACCGGCGTCGGTACCAGCATCCATGCTCCACGTTGCCTCGTCTAAAAGGACGAGCTTGGAGTGCCGGATCAGGACGCGACACAACGACAGAACCTGTCGTTGACCATGGGAGAAGTTTTCTCCCTTGCTCTTGACTATGGTTGACAGACTGAGCCTTTCTGTAAACGCGCTGTTTACTGAGGAATCAGCGCTGGCTATCTTCGACTTTTCCAGCTGATCTGTAGCTTGTAGCAAGGATTGGCAAATTCTCAAGGCGTTTTGAAGTTCTGATTCCGGAATTGTGCCGGAAGGATCTAGGTTTGAAGCAATTGTTCCCTGAAATAGCTGCGGCTCTTGTGGGATCGTAGAAATAGATTGCCGGAGACGTCTACGCGGAATCGATTTGAGATCTATTCCATCGTAGAAGATCTTGCCAGATTCAATGTGTGTAAACCCAAGAAGAGACAAAATTAGCTATAAGATGTTAGCTCTGAGTGAGATTCACTCTTAATCAAGAATACTGACCGTGCTCTTCCCGCTGCCGGTTCTGCCAACAATGGCAATACGCTCGCCAGGCTCAATTCTCAAAGAAATATTCTTCAGAATATCATGTCCGGTGGGGTTGTATCTGACAGTAACGTTTTGCAATTCTACAGAGCCAGTTCTTGGCCAGCTCGCTGGCAGACGCTTGCTGCTGTCGGTGGTGCAATCTTCTTCTCGCGCCAGTTTAGTATACCCTCGAACGCGTTGGAACTGTATGCAGGTTAGCAGTTTGTATAGCGAGGAATAAGCGTCCTCGTTTTTCTGAAACATACAATTTGCATGTCAAGGCTCAGACTGGTAAAACTAAAGATCGTCGCTAAGACCTTGTCGCTGAGCTGGGTCGCCTGCGACAAGCCAAAGCCGGCAAGGCCTGCTGAAAAAGCGCCTCTCTGGGACAGGGCAAGCGATGCTGCCAGGATGTTAATTGCCGTAGCTAAAACGCTCATCCTAAATTTCTGCCATTGACTGGCGTTTGACAGAGCATGCTGTGCCCGGGACGATGCGCAGAGCAAGCGGTTCATTTTGGCATGGAAAATGAGTGGGCCAGATGATGCCGCACGAATAACGATAGATCCAGTAAGCCCTTCGGAAAAATTTGAAAGGATAGGTGATCGACTCGAAGACACCATATCTGTGAGATGGTGGCTGGCGCCCTCATACATACGCGCAATGAAGCAGCCAATAGTTAGCAAAGCAATAGCCGGTAATGGAAAAACAGGGATATTTGATGCAATAGTCCCTATCATTAGTATAGATTGGATGATGTTGCTGATGACCGAGACAATGGAGTTGTAGATCGACTGATCAAGACAGGATATGTCTCCTGACAAACTGTTGAGCGTCTCTGATATGGCCTGTTCAGTGAACCATGATAACGGTGCAGCCATAACAGCATTGATCACGTCGACATGCAGCCTGCCGGCAGCTACCATGATACCCCTACTGAAAGCCATCATTCGAATGCCATCGATAGCCTCAGTCAGGTAGCTGAGGCCAATATACACCATCAAGTAGTACAAAATGCTACTTTCACTGCCATCGGCGCGTCCAACCCAGCGCGACAGCCAGTAGTTGGTGTAAATGCCAGCGCCCGTGTGAAGGAAGCAGGTTGCCACTGTCAGAGTGGCTATGAGCGAGCCTCCAAAGTACATTAAATAAGTGAACACTTCTATCACATTAGCCAGAGAAGCTTGATCCATGCAGGAAGAATCACTTACCTAAGAGTGAACTGACACTGCCTGTGACTGGTCTTTCCTGGTCAGCCACCACAGCTTCGCTTTCTTCATTGTGCGTATTCTCGTCGGCGGGGACGTAGGTGCGCGGCTCGGCTGGCAGCTCTCCGGAGACAGCAATTTTTTGAATAGGCTTTGCTTTGCGCACATGTCCCTCCCTTCTGGACACTGACTGCACCCGGCCATTATCCATGACAATGACAACATTGGCCTCATCAGCAATCCAGGTGTTCTGAGTAACAAGTATGACAGTTCTTTTCTGCAACAGATCTGAGCAAAATACACCATTCCAGAGCTCGAGAGAGGTTCTAGTGTCTAACGCGGAAAATATGTCGTCGAGAAGAAGTAGCGACGCGCTGGAATACAGAGCTCTCGCAAGAGCCACTCGTGCTTGTTGTCCACCTGAGGTCTATTAGTATTCGGTACCAGGATTAGGAAGAACTGGTAATCGTACCTGACAAAGCAACAGTGCCACTCCCAATCACTGTTTGATCTCCATGCTCCATTTCTTCAAAGTCAACTGTCAAGCAGCAAGCATCAACGACCTTTCCATAGCGTTTTTCATCATAGGCGTTGTAGAAGAGAATATTCTCTTGGATTGTGCCGGCTTGTAGCCATGGCGTCTGAGACGAATATGCAGCATCCTTTTGGCGAACGACGCTCCCGCTCTTCTTATGAGTTTCCCCAAGCAGTGCCAGGAGCAGTGAAGTCTTGCCACTACCACTAGTGCCAGTCACAACATTTAATCCATTCTGGAAAAATTTGATGTTGATGTCACGGAGGTGGAATTCAGTACCCTTAGCTCGCTGAAATGTTCCATCACGAATTTCGACATCACCTTCAGTGTAGGTATCGAGTGGCGTCAGACTCTTGAAGAACCTATCAAAGCGGCGGAGAGACACCATTGCTCTAGAGAATTCAACCCTCACTAGCGCCAGAAAGACCAAGCAGTTACTGACAATTTGCAGCAATTGTATCGTCGTGTATGCGGTAGATGCTGTGAGTGGCAGTTTTCTGATACCGACATGGAGAGCAAGAATGGATACGAGTGACAGAATGGGGAAGAAGTTGGCTATGAGCGATAAGCCTATGCTAAAGATGTCAATTGCATGGATATGCTTCTGTTCCGTCGTTCGGGCCTGTGCAATGTTTTTCGCGGCAGATTCCTCCCAGCCAAAATACTTGATGATCTTGATAGACCTAAGGTATTCGGATACTAGAGAGATGCGTAAATCTTGGGCCGTTTTGAGCTGTTCTTCATGGTGTTCAACATAGCTCATGAGCCAGGTCTCGAATGGAGACCCGGATAGCGCGAGGGCAATGCCCACAAGGCAAGGCCAACCAACAAGCTGATATAGACCAAAAGCCGCGGTCGCGGCAGCAGGGATAGCCGTGACACAAAACAGAACATCTTGCAGCCCAGTGATGCTTTGAATGTCGCTGGAGATTAAGTTTTCAAGTATACCAGAAGCGGTGCTTTGCAATTCTTGGCCGTCCGCGGTCTCACCAGAGCTTAAAAAGTTGCCATGAAGCTCGCGCGATGCAAGGGCGCTGTGAAACACTTCTGCCGTCAACATTGCGTTGACTTGCGCCGCGAGTTTACGAGAGTGGGAGCTGTAGGCTTGCTGGAATGCGGTCTGTGTGATGCGGCCGCCACAAATGACCAGAAGCCACAGCCGTGGCTGAAAGATTGCTTCGTCGGGGTGCTGCATGTAATCCAGAAGACAATAGAGGCCCATCGGGCTCACAAGCTGGGCGGCTGCAAAAAGCACGCCGAGCGTGGTGCATAGGAGAAGCTGTGCCCAGAGCAGCGATACCAGAGCGCGGGTCATCGTAGAATGTGTCTTGCGAGTTTCAGAAAACCTGCGTCGCCAAAGTTCGGGATTATATGCCGAAGGAAGCTTGTCCAACCGATCAAGAGTGATTTCGCCGTCTCCCCCGCGAACAAGACTGCTAGCCCGAGCATATGTAAACAAGTAGTCTACCCAACTGCAGGTCTCCTCAAACGTGGGCTCGGGCAAATCGCCAAGGGAGGCGTCAACCGGCGCAAGCCATTCATGAGGCGCGACGACAGCTACACAAACTGAGCAGAGAAGAGAAGCTGCTGCGCGCATTGTTGGAGGCGTCACTGAATAGCCGCTGCCAATCAATGCTAGGGATAACCCCTCCATCACCAGTATGAAGCCAAACGTGCCGACTAACATGGCGTCGATATGACCACGGAGAGCCTGCCGATTGCGCTCCGGGCCAATGGTGCGCGCCAGCTGAAGAAGGCAAACATAGCCGAGAAGTAGGGCATTGGTCGCCTGGTGATGCGTCTCACGAGCGGCGATAAAAAGGCAAAGCGTCGTGACATTGAGAAATTGACCAATAGGCTCAAAAACGGCTGTTGCAACAGGTTGATGCAGCAAGGGCCTTCCAGGGGCGTGGTGTTGCTGTCGCAAAAGTTGAAAGGCCAGTACGATGACCGATAAGCTAGCCATGGCGATCTGGGGCAGCCCGCGTTGATAAAATGCGGTCAGTACAGTGAGCCAGTGTGACCTACAGCAAAGAGCCTTTAATAAACCGTTGTTTGAAATACACAAGATAGAGAAAATACAGTTCAATTGAGAAGACTTACTTCGGCAGGCCCCTACCACTATCATGCGTAGTTGGATAGAACTCCATCTCGATACATGCGCCCAGCTACCAGCTTTGGAGCTTGCTGGCGACATGAAGGTAATGGGATTGAGCTAAGGGAAAGCGTTCTTGATCGGCCAGATGATATCGGCTTCTAAGGACTTAAAGGTGAAAAAAAAGGACTGATGTAGAAAGGAGGACTTCTATTTGAACAGGGCACTCAAGCTTGTTTGTATGATTATTGATAGCATGCGCCCGCAGGGTCGAGGGAATCCTTTGGCCATGGTCCATGAACAACTGAATGATGCCCTGAATAACTACCAAAACAGGACTGGGTGTAGTGCGTTTGTTCTGTATCCCTGTCAGGTAACTCTCTCCAGCATTGAACCTGTCTGATAAAATACAATTAGCCCTGTACAGTAGGTACGTCGCCCTTCCTTGTCGGTACCAGCCTGGCATACGATACTTACCTACGGAGTACACAGAACATTTACAACGTGGCCGCATAACAGCGAATGTACCCCTTAACACATCTTCATCCTCCACCACCCTTCACCGTTTTTTTTTTCCCAACACACACACACATCAATACGCCGCTCAGAGGCGCTTCAAGGCACTCTCAGGGGCCCTATCAAAGGCACAAAGGCACTATCAAGGGCCTTCTCAAAGACACGCGCTGGGGCGCGCGCTGGAGGCACGCTGAGGCATGCGCTGGAGGTACGCTGAGGCATGCGCTGGAGGTACGCTGAGGCATGCGCTGGAGGCACGCTGAGGCATGCGCTGGAGGCACGCTGAGGCACGCGCTGGAAGGCGATATCTTGTTATTGACTCTAAGAGAGTGACTTCGAAGAGCCTACCGGCTCTGACTGGTCTGTTAAGGCCCACAAACTACACCTTCAGGCTGGCATCATGTTTGCGCCAGCGCCCTTTGGACATCTCGACGCTGTGCATGCAGCTGGCAGGCGGTCTCGAGGCGGTCTCGGGTACGGCACTTGTTGGACTGACTGGATTATTATTATCGGGTGAAATATGATATTTGAGAGACTCAATCCCCAGCTATCCCTTTGACTGTCATAAAGGAATAAGCAGGTCACCGCATCCATCAAAGAACCATAAGGCGTCGTACAGGCCTCTTGAGTGCGGCGATCAGTAAGAAGCCCCGGGTAGGTACTTGCCTGTGTCACAGTACTTGAGTTACAGGGCCATTTGCCCGCAGCTGCAAAGAAACTGTTTTTTTCTGCGGCATGATTGGACTAGGTCCCTTCAACTGATCTTCTTGCTCCTTCATGACAGTCGAAGGTAAACAAGGTGTTGTTCACTTCGTCGTTCACGACACATATATAGGGTTATCATTGCACCATGACTGGAAAATTTTGGATTCTGTACTCCTCAGAGAATCTTCCTGATACATTCCTACTTGTATACGCTTTCCAGTCAAAATGGCCAAGTTTCAAACTCCCGTAGGAGTTCTTATTGCGTTCGCTTTGCTCAAAGCAATGGCTGCCCCAGTGGCTGATACGACATTTGCAACATTTACACGAACTGTTGCTCATGATGCAGACGCTTGGGAACTCACTTTGTCCAACGACACTCACCATAGAATTGACGTTGCTCGGAAACATCTAGGTGATCAGAGTCATGAAGGTCAAGCATTCCGGAACGACACCATCATGCGGTAAGAGATTGTATCCCTCCATTCTACTCTATGATTCTCGACAAACTAAAGCAGAACAATTCTCTAGAGTGAATATCGAGCGCGAGGCTTTGGACTTGCCACTTGTCGACTTGTTCCAAGCTTTCGGTATGGCTCTCCCGAAGGCTCGTCCAACGACCAATTCGAAGGCTGCACGCAGTGAAGCTGAAGATATGCGCGAGGCAGCCTACCTCAGGGGCGGCACAATGTACAGCAACAACAAGCGTAGTGAAGCTGAAGAAA